GCTTTGCAACTGATAGTATTTACACAAGTGCATGACAAGCTTTCAAATGGTAATTAATATTCATCAGAGACATGCAATGGCCTTGCCACTGACAACAACAAATTGTATGCATGAAAAATGAAATCTAAAATATTTATATAAGTATTATATCAGTCTCATTTGGCAGCTCTACTACTCGGTGCAGTTTTAGCATTTACATATAGTAGTGTTTGTTTCATGTGTAGCTTTGAGAGTGGCGTGCCTCAGCTGTCCTCTGGGATGGCGTGCTGTCTCTCTCTAGAGAGGGACTGCAGTCGTTTGCTCTTTTCTTGCGATTATTTATTGCATTACCATCGATTTGTGCATTAAGACATAGAAAGCAATAAATCTTTACAAACATTTCGAGCTTTGAATTAAATGGTTAGATTTTGGGTAGGTAAAATAATACCTTTTTTACCATATATGTGGAGATTTGAGAAATATTGAATACTAAGAGAAATCAAAAATATAATTTCACTCGATTTTTTATCTAGGAAAATGTAATATTCGAAACAGTTTAACTAACGATTTCAGCTTCTGACACTTCCAAGCCTTGCCTTGTCCAAAGAGACCAATGAAATCCTCATATGCTAATTGTAGATATCTTTGTATGGTTTAAGTAGCATTGCATTGAGGAATTTCCAAACACTACAAGACTCGTATATTCGTTAACAAATGCTCTCATTAACCAAATTATTAGCTTTCAACGAGAATGTCGGTTACGAGAGAAAATTTCACTATATAAAAACTAGTTAAGTTTAATTTCTAGTCGGTTGCTCGTCTTAGAGTTTAAACGTCGTATATAACGTTGTAAGACTTGCTTAAAAGAGCTATCAAGAAATCCTGAAGTGATTTATCGAAATTTATTTGATTTTAGGCTGCGGCTTGATTGTATGCTGCTGCTCTTTCTTAATCAGATTCCAACGAAAGATTGGGAAAAAAGATTTTTTAAAAACAATGTAATGATAATTATAACTTAATGAGCCTGAATATGAGTTCCTTCGTTCCGGAAATTCTTAAAAAATAATTACTTTTACTAGCCTCGCGCATTGGTCAAATTAAATCTCGCTAGCAATATGCTAAATACGATCTACATCGGCGAAAAAAGCCCACGCACTTTACAGAGTGCCTATATATAGCGCAAAACTTATGGTTATGTTATCTTAAGTTAGACAGTTCTTTTTTTGAGAGTCAAACCGTTTTATTCACTTCATGTTCAAAGCATTTTTATATGATATAATAAATTAATAGTTTCACACTGGATGTAGTAAAAACACATACATAACAAACCGCAGAATTTGTTATGAATAATAATATAACTTTTAAACAAGTTATAAGCAAAGTAGTCTATATGTTCTGTATGTAACAATAGAATACATAACAAAGCGAAATAAAATTATGTGTTACAACAAATGCTTAGTATTTTGTGGAATACGCCTTCCTTCTAATAACCTCGGCTATTCGTGTAGGCATAGATTCTTACAAGCGTTAAATATAATTTTTATTAATTTCTACATTCCACACAGCTTAAATAATTTTTCCAATTTCTGTTGTACGCTTTTCCCTTATCCTTTTGCCCATATAATGCCAGCAGTTCCCAAGTAGATTGAAATATGGACCTCGTGATAGACTCAATTCCATAAAAATAGTTTTGGTTTGTAATCTGTAAGTGTTTTAATGAATTATTGAAAAACCTATTTCAATATTTTTATGCTTTAGTTATCGTTTTGGCTTAATGTCAAAGGGTTCAATCATCCTGAAAATACAATTTTTGAGTGTGTTCAAACAGCTGTTCAATAGTTTGTAAAACGCATTTTTTGAAAGTTTTAATGTATTTTTCGGCATTCACAAATACTTTCAGAATAATAAGCTGCCAAAACCCAAAATTGGTTATAGCCCGCCATACCATTAAATAGAGCGAATGCTTAACGGTGCGTACACAGCTTTCCAAAAAATGCTCTCCTTTCCTACGACGCATTGTGACATTTCCGTCGGGTCCAAACAAATTAAATTTGGATTCGTCGGCAAATATAATATTTCCCCAGTCTGTTGCTATCCAACTTTTGTGTTATTTTGCCCACCATAGCCGCTGTTTCTTCATTTGGGTAATGAGAAGTGGCTATTTGGCTGGACGTCGCGCTCGTAAGCCAGGATTATTCAAAACATTTTGCATATTTTGCATATATATAAATGATCAGGATGAAGAGACGAGTTGAAACCTGAGTGACTGTCTGTCCGTCCGTCCGTCTGTCCGTCTGTCCGTCCGTCCGTGCAAGCTGTAACTTGAGTAAAAATTGAGATATCTTCATGAAACTTGGTACACATGTTTTCGGTACCGTTGGTATTGCAGATGGGCGTAATCGGACCACTGCCACACCCACAAAGCGCCATTAATCAAAAACTAACAAATTGCCATAACTAAGCTCCGAAATAAGATACAAGACTGTTATTTGGTACAAAGGGCTACAAAGCATTTTTTGTAGCCACGCAAATATCGAAAAAGCGAAATATTTAAGCGAAGTTGTAACAGCGATAAAATACAAAGGGCCGAGTAATGTTGCTATGTGTGGTCGGCAATTAGACTAACTTTATTTGCAAAATTCTTCTCCTTAAAAAATATTCTAAGCAATATTGCAATACTGTCCATTGCATAATTTCCGCTAAGTACATAGTTTCGTTTTCTATTAGTTCATATATACATAAGTATGTAACTTATATAAATTTAACAGTTCAGAAAAGGAGAATAACCCAAGTACATAATGTTCTCTATTGCTCCTTCTTATATAATGTAGTTAATAACAAAAGAGAAATATAAAAAAATGAGAACGCAGCATTGCAATAGGCTGCTTACATATTAAAGCTTAGCACATGTTAAATGGGACTAGCTAATGTGCACAAACAAATATTCATGTAATTGCGTGGACGAAAACATAGCGGTAGCATAAGTGTACAAAGCAAGCGCAAGCAAGCAATAAATATGTAAGTATGTACACAATGCAAATACAATTATTAACTGCATTGAGGTGAATGCCTTCTAATGCTTGCCCTTGAATATTAGGCAAATAAGTAGAGAACAAGAAATGGCAAAAATATATAGAACATATGACTGTATAATGCAGTGGCTCTCAATCGGTGACCCAACAATCACATTATGGAAGGGCACCTGCAGTTAAAAAATTTGTCTTTAAGTGGGCGTGGTCCCGCCCCTAATAAGTTTAATGTGCATATCTCCTAAACCGCTAAAGCGATAATAACCAAATTCACTGGGAGCAAATGTTCTTAGCACCTCTATTGCGGTGTGAAAATGGGTGAAATCGGGTGACAAGCCCGCCCACTCCCCATATAACGGTACTGTTAAAAAATACTAAAAACGCGATAAGCCAATTTGTCTAAATCGAACCAAAACTGTTCAAGCCCCTAAGTACTAAATATGTGGACCCCAGTGCCTATAGTTGACCTTCTACCGAAAATATCAGTCAATCCACAAAGAAATATCAAACGAGTATACCACTTGACTTTGCGAGAGTATAAAATGTTCGGTTACATCCGAACTTAGCCCTTCCTTACTTGTTTTTATATTAAAATTAATTAAATTGATTGGTACAGTTGTTGAAAGCGATCAGTAAAGCACATCCGTTTAATTTGTCGTTCATGACGAGGTTTTACTTTTTTCCTACGCTATCCTAGAATTAAAATTCGTATAATTTATAATAATATTGCGCACACTCCAATCACTTATTTTCATTTCACGAGCTATTTGACGTTTGGGTAATTTATTTTTATATAAAGCTTTGATTTTCGCATTATTCTCTATTGACACATGGTGTTGTCAATATTGAAATAATTCAACTTTGCTTTTTTTACAACAGACTCACAAGAAAATACGGCAAGTACTGAAATAATCACGTGCAGACACTAACGGTTTCAGAAACAACGGTAAACTAATGTAGTCACATAACAAAAAACTCAAATGAAGCAAATATCGTATTTTGAGCAAATAGTGACAGTTTAAAAATGGAATATTAGAAAATTTCCGACTGTGTGCGTTTTTCTTTCTCTGAGTGTATTATATATACAGGTTCGGACAGAGGTGTTGCGTTCTTACTATTGCCATCCCAGCTCAATTTTTAATTTGATCGATCGATTACTGTAAATGTTAAGAAAAACTTGTGTAAGCACTACACTCTACTTAAAATAGATCCTCTCTGAACTTTTGGCAACAAAAAATACCCCACTAAACAGCTGAAAAACGATTCAAAACTGCTTTTTATTTCATCTACCTGTTATTTCGTAGTAGCAGAAAAAAAAAGAAGGTTTGAATCGTTGAATAGGGTCCTTTTATTTGTGTTTTCTGAGCAAATTTAACATAGTAATTTATACAATACCATAAGAAAGAAAAAAATTCAGAAATCATAAAACTTACTAACATTTAAAACAAATCTGAAATTTTGGCATGAGATTTTTTTTTATCGAAAATAAGGGTGTCAAAATAAGGAGACCAAATAAATATTTTAAATGAAAGAAATGCAGTGTGTTTGAGACATAAGAAGGTAAGTTTACACCAAATTTTGTGAATGAAAAAAATGTTTGCACAACGTATTGTAAAAATAAAAAACTCAAAAAGTTGGCTATTTGAATTTTTCACATGAATTTTGAGTTTAGGTGAAAAAAGATTATACACAAAAGTTATAGATCTTTTCATTACCTATAACAGAGTTTATTTTTCCTTTAATGCCATTTGAAATCCTTAACCACATTAACGTTATAGTATTGAATCCAATATTGTAACATTATATATCTTTTTTTGATCCCCATTCTCTTACATTTAGCAAATAATGAAAGGACAGCAATCAACGCAGTTTGCTACATAAATCAGAATATCAAAAAATCATTAATATATATATCAATACATTATTTTATAGTCAAAGTATTTCCCGATTCCTTCACTCTACCTTCTACTTCTATTTTCTCATCTACTATAGGTATTGTTATTACAAATCAGCAAAACATCATCAAATCACAGAATTTCCACCTACAACAACAGCCGCACTACATCTACGTAGGCGCACGCCGAGACGGTCAAACTGTCGCGGCGTCTGCTTCAGCGTCGGCGTCGGCGGCATCTACAGGTCACAGCATATCAACAGCACATCGTGTGACAAGCAGCGAAACCGTTCCGTGGAAATCAGTAGCTGACAATAAGCTGCCAGTGTCTCAGCTAGTTGTCGACGAGCAGCAAAAAAAACCAACCCTACAAAAATGTGCCAAATTTAATTGTGTCGCCGTCGAAAAGACAAATGTGGGCGCACAACACTATGCATCCACTCTTTCCTCTTCAAACTCTGCGCACTCTCTTGCAGATGCTGCGTTCAGCAGTCAAGCAACAAAATCAAATAACTACAATTATAATAGCCAAATACGACAAGAACATTTGCAGCAGCCATCTCAATTGACCGCGCTGCGCACGCGTTTAGATGCAACAGGGGCGCCTGTCCTGCGGCGTAGCGAAAAGCTTTCTGCGCTTCAAACTCCGGCCAACTTACAAGAGCGCCATGAGGGCAATAGTAATAAGAAGCCAGCAGTGCAAGCGCAATGGTCGAAGTTACTGAAGTCAAAATCTAAAGAACAACAGAAGGTGCATGTGGCACACAAAAGCCAACATAAGGAGGTGAAGCTGCACCGCGCGCCTGGCGAAATTTGGAGAGCGCGTGAGAGCGCGCAGAAACTGCGCTGGGCGCATGAAACTAGCGCTGCCATTAAACGTCGCCTACGACGTTCCACCGAAGCCATAATATTGTTGCCTGCGCTTAATTTGGACGTTGATGAGCAAACAGACAGTATGAGTGCAGAAATACTGGACGACGAGCGTGTGCATTTGGCGCGTCGCTCAATTAGTTTAAGCAGCAGTGAGAGCGCCGGTGTAGCGGCTGTGAGCGCCACAACACAAGTAGAAACGTCAGCGCATACCGCCCCTTCTTCGGCTTCCACTGACGTTGCTGTGTCTACGTCAGCTGCGGTAGTTTCTTCCTCTTCCTCGCTGACTACATCCTCCCTCGAGGATTTTAGTTTCTCCTCTCCCGTTGTTGAAACTCAGCCTAGCGCCATCTATCGCAACTTAACAACGAATCAGTTTGTCGCCGATGCCGCTAAACCAATTCAATATGTTGCGCTCAAGTCGAAGCGCGCACGCTCGGCTGTTAGTGTTAGTGTGCCCGCCGAAGTGCTTCGTAAACCGAAAGAACCGATTATCATTATCGATGATGTGGAGGAATTCGATAGCGGTACAAATAGTGAACACGACTTAACTGCTATGGCCACAGTAGATGACAAAAGCGAAGACTACTCGCACGATGAGCCAATTGAGCCGCGTATGTTGCCGCTACGTCCAGTGCTGCCCAATCCGTATGAGGATGAAGAAATGTCAGTAGTTTATGCGGAGCAACATTCCGAGATACGGCTGATGTGCGAAGTGGACTTGGATATTGCGTCCAGCACCTGGTACAAAAATGGACAGGTGAGTTTCTAATGTAAATTAAGAAGTTATAGAAGATAATGTATATATATACATATATAAAAATGAGTATGAGAAGGGATTTTTTGAAAACCAAATGTTGTTTAGTTAGATTTTCAGCCTCTTTCTAGGCATTTACCAGTTCTTTTTCTTAATATTTTTTCTTTATATTAATAATTTTGCAAACCTGTTTCTAAGATAGACTACAGATCTTTCAATTTGGTATGGGTGACAAGTTGGCAGTGGTTTGATGCTACAGCTAATGAGAACATGCACTCCATGACTAGCTTTAAGCTCACTGTCATTAATCTCAAGGCCTATATAACAGCTCTGCTATCGGAGAAGATGCATACCTCCCTAAAAAAGCCGCTTTTGAGAGAAGTATTTAAGCTGCTACCTTAATGGCTGCCACTTCTGTTTGAAAGACACAACAGTGGTATGGCAGTTTGCAACATGAACGGATTGAGAGCTTTCGATAGAAGACTCTCCCTCCAACCTTCCCCTTGAGTTTCGATTCACCCATGAAAAAGCCCACTGTGCCTCTTCTCCAGACGCTCTGCCCCACTCACATATCCCTCGGGGATATGTGTGCAGAGAAAATGAAACTAGAAATAGACTGCGCGACGCACTGATACGAATAAGATCCGTTCGTTGAACGCGTTCTAGCTGTTGAGCGAGTGGGATTTTTCTGAGCTTCCTTCACCGGACAAATACACCACAGGACAGTATTGGCTTAACGATGGTTTCATAAAGCCAAAGCACAACTCACCCACCGCTTTCCAAACCACAAAAATATAGTACAACCAATGCCTCCTTCACTCTATCCTCCACATTGGGCATCCATGATAGCTTTATATCAAGGATGGAGCCCAAGTATTTCTCTTACCTTTTCGACAGGGTGAATTCGAGAACCCCACAATGAAGGAAGGTGTGCATCTGGCCGCCTAGTTAATAATACCAGAACAGTTTCATATGGAATGACAATTAAGCCGCTTCTTTCCGCCAAACTAGCTACCATATTGAGGTTGGGTTAACTCGTAAACGGAATCTAGGAATTTTCATTTAGAAATGAGAGCAAATTCATCTGCAAACGCTGTCACCTGACAAGCTCATCCCACGAGCTCTTTCAAAAGGTCATTTACAACAACGATCCAGTGTAAAGGGGACAGAACCCTATCTTGTGAAGTTATCTTTTGACCTTTCGTTGTGCAGTAGAATAGTCTTTATTTTATTAGAAATAATTGTAAAATTTTGTATTCAAAATAATTAAAATGTTTTTTTAATAGTTTGATACGCTTTCCAACTTTTTCAACTGATATTTATTTTTTCTAACAAACGTTTCGAGAAAATTTAATTTCCAATGAAAATTTTCACAAATTAAATATTGAATTGCATACTTAGCTGCGTTTATGTACTGAACATAGCTAGGAAATCAACGGAAATCAGTGTTAACAAATAACAACTACGAAAATAATAATCATTACTGAGGCTGAATAGCACAACAAAAACAAAAGTGTACCATAAAACCGAAAAAATTACTGACAAATAAATTTCCAGTTAGTTTTTCAACAACTCAACAGAAATTGTGAACAAGTTGTAATTGTTACAACCAGCGCTGAACTGCAATAAACACGGAAAGGCATAAATGAACGGAATATAGAAATAACAAAAATAATAATAAATCATAACAAATATTAGCAACAAAACGAGCATATTGCATAATTTCCGACGCAGCAGCGAGGCGTAAATGTAATTACAGTTATATTTCAGTGTGGTAACTGCGTTGATGCATTGAACAAATGTGAAATGAAAAAAAAATATATATATAACTGTACGTTCGTATAATTTTTATTGTGCTGCTGTTAGTTGGTGAAAAGTTTATTGTGTGCAACAAAGCGAAAACAACAACAATGCAAGGGTTAAAAACGAAAATTTGGCTGTAAAGTTGGCGGCGTTCAACGAATTGGCAACTCATGGCAATTGTCGAAATATGAATGAATTCGCTGTAATAATGACTCAGGTGGGCGTTGAGCACCCGCATATGCTTTACCGTTATTTACCTTTGCGTTTTTTGCCAGTTGGTCAGTTGGCACCACAAAGGTTTTGTGCTTTTTTCGCTTATTTTTATTTTTATGGTTTTTGTTTTTGGCAAAATTTTGTTTTTGCAATGACTTCATATCACACGCGCCACCAACTGCTGCAGGTACAATTTATGTAGCAGACAGTGGCTGCAAAAAGTATGCAGTTGACGCAACGTTTGTGGTATAATTGGAGATAGTTTAACTGCTTTCAGTTATTTTTTGTTGCTTCGAGAATTTGCTGGAGTGTTTTCTGTAACTTTTTCAACAGATCAGCAATACGACTATTGACGTATATTTGCCGCGAGCAAATCAGTAGGGTATTTGTACAGAAGGTATCGAAGTTGAATTTAGTTATTTTTTTTTTGTAGCGGTAAAAAAATTAAATAATTATAAAGCAAATAACATTTAAAATTAAAGAAGGTGGAATTCAGTAGAAGTGTGCGTCATGGCAACTTAAATTCGTGAAAATCAATTGGAACCCTACAAGAACAGTGACAGTAATCTGACCGGTACTATGACAGTCATAGCTGAAAAAATTTTGTTAGCGCGCAGAACAAAGTTTTTATCATTTTCTTAAGAGCCTTATGCAAAAACTGATGTAAACATATGCATGTGTGTGATTTTGCATCTCCCTTTAACACATGAATATTTAGAATTGATTCACTATATATATATACTGCTCACTCACATGGCTTTTCCAAAGTGAAAAATTCTTTTGCGCAGTATATAATACAATTTTAATTTTTTTAATAAATTTAAAACTTTTATTTAAAATCAGTTATAATATTTTACGAGTACATAAATATAAAAAAGAAGTGCAACAAAGATATAATTAAATAATAAATTATGAAAAGAAATTTTCACTGGATTCCATGCTTGCTCCTCTCAAAAGCTCTGCTGTACGTGTTTCTCCAGTTCATGTATGTTTCGGAGTTTAAAAATTCCTAAAGAAAAATTAAAATTATCTGAAAATATAATTTTATTTAAAACTTAACAATAACTTACGTGTATTATATTTGAAAACTCCTTCGTTATTTATTTTTTTTTTTCACCCAAAAAGAGTTATTGAACAGGAGCACGAAACACTTTTGGTGTATCGCTTAACTACAAAGGTATTTCACAACTTCTCGAAACTTCTGTGGAAACGTATGCTGTCTTTTATCGACGTTCACAGAAGTTGCTTTTGGAAAAGTCGTAAGCATTGACAGTAATTTTACTGTACATTTGTTAATTTATGTATTGGAGAACCCATCAGCAGTTTCTTGTAGTGAAACTTTTTAAATACATAAATGGTTAACTACATATGTATTTATCAACAAAAAATTAACATATTCTTTAAAAAAAAAATTAAAAATTAAATTTATTTTTGTACCCGTAGAAATATGGTACTGCTTTTGCTTATGTTTGTAACCTGTGCTTGTGGTAATGTGGGGGCAATTTATGAGAATAATGGTTGGTAACTGAGAAACAACTAATAAGATATTATATATTGAACAAAGAAAAATTACTTTCAACATGCAAAAGAGTACATAACTGTTCCATTTCCAAGGTTATATGAGCAATTCAGCGCTCCTTAGATATATTTAGCGCAACTTTATTGAAAAATTTGGCATTTCTATTAAAAAATATATATATTTTGATTTATTTATTATTATATTACAACATTTCAGCGCATCATATGCGCTTATTTTAGAAATAAAGGTAACTCGACACAATATTTATCGCAGTTCCCTTATAATTCAGCGCTTTCAGCAACTCCAAAGACAGTTTTGTGAGCAATTCAGTTCCCATTAGATAAATACAGATACACTTTTTTTTTAAAATTCAGTGCATCATCCGTGCTGATTTTTGAACTTAAACAAACTCAATCATCATTTATCGCAGTTCCCTCATAATTTTCTTATTTCTTTCAGCTAACACAAAACATCACTTTTTCAAATCTTTTGTTTTTTGTGCAAACACAATTCAGCGCTATCGAACTTAACTGTCATTGCTGAATATGAATCAATCAATTTAGATAAGATGTTTATCTGATTTGCGTCAGTCTTCTGCAAATTATTATTACATTATAAATTCATCACAAAAAATAGTAACTTGATAGAGCGTTTTTAAGCAGTTAGTTTTTCATATATTTTAAAGTAATATAATATTTTAAATATATATGAAATTCAGCCGGATCTTGTGTATTATAAAGTATGAGGCAAGATATCGTCAATAGTGGTACCGTATATTAAGTCAGCTAAAATAAAGTAAATTCAGCGCTTATATTTCATTCACAATAGCATAACGTATCATTACTTCCCTCAAGTGGCACAAAGACCAATTTTCTAGAACTATAAAACTCGTTGTGACGCTCTACCTCATTGGTATGCCACCATTAGTAGCGACTTCAACATTTTTTTTCAACTCCGCTGATCTTTTCTTCGTTTTCGCTATCTAATGCCAATAGTTTTCGCCTCATCAATTCCTTAGCGATTGAAACAAGCAGCAAAACTGCCAACAAATAAAATCAAGCCCATATACACATATATATATCTGTCTATGTGCCTCCTTGGCAACATGCGCTTGCAACACTTGCCACAATATTTTGTATGCTCAAGCAGATAACAAGCAGTCAGCTTGAAAAGCATAACAACCAAGGAAAAACGAAAAATTTGGCAAAACAACAACAAACTCACAAACAATGCGCAGCAATCAAGCGGTTAAAGAAACATAAGAAGAAGAAGAAGCAGAACCGAAGGGAAAGAAGCAGAGTTAGAGCTACAAGGAGATACTGCAGGCGCATACACCGAATTGCAGCGCAAAAACTTACGCTCAACTAAAGCGCAATGCATGCGTGAATTTTCCTTCGTTGTACACAACAACTGTTGTTGTGATTATTTTAATGTTCTCTTTTTATCATTTTTCCTTTCACTCGATTTC